AAGTTATCTGTTGTAATCTAGTACAGTGGTGCCTCGAGATACGAACTTAATTCGTTCCAGAAGGCTGTTCGAGTGCCCATACCGAATGAATTTGTTCCCATAAAGAATAATGTAAATTAGATTAATCTGTTTCAGATCCCCAAAAATACACTTACAAAAGCACTTACATAAATACACTTAAATAATTGTTCGAGTTTTCAGCTGTTCATATCCCAAGGTACCACTGTATTTCTAAACTAAGCAGCAGGTGTCATACCACAGGAAGTGCCTGATTATTCTAAAAATGGCATCTTGTTTGCTCTGAAAGAAATTTTTGGTGCTGCACTATCATTGCGAAGTGTGAAAGACTTCACCTGATGCTGAATGAAGTAGAAGCAAAAGAGCAAAAATAAGAAATAATAAGCTTGGACCAGACTGATTAAAGCAATAAAAGACAACATGAGACACAGGATGAATACATAGCATTAGGATGGATAGTTGAACTTGAGGAAAGAAACATTTTTTTCTGTGAAGGGCTTCATGAAACCCAAATAGGAATAGTAATCTGTTTGGATAACCTTAATAACATCAGTAATAGACTTTGACTCCCCCCCTCCCCTTTTTTTTTTAACTTTGGAAGTACTCTTGTGTCATCTGTGCTCAATTTGGCTCCCTCTGCTATATTCAATTACTGTTCAGGACCACAGCATCATTTGGAACAGCCTTGCAAAGAATAACTGACAAGGGAAGATAACAGTCACTGGTTCATGGGTTCCCTATGAAAAGTGGTTTTTCACTCTTTTAAAATGTTTGTTCCATTTTAATAAATGGTTAATCAGAATCCTACCAGTACTCAATATGGCAGAGGCAGCCGATTTAACTTTGAGAGGATACACTCAGCACAGACCACCGAGACAAGGAACTCTTGTCTATGAAACCATTTATTTTACGAAAATAAATTGCTAGAGAGACACATCAGTGTTTGTCTAGCCTTGGGCAAAATCCTACATACTGTGGAAGAGGATTTTGCTTAAGCTCTTCTTCCTGTTAGCCATAAAAATCCTGAGCATTGTAAATACATGAGCATGTGTAGTATCACCTGCAACCCTAACTCATGTGGTTAAGGACGGTGACTATCATTGATTCTACTACTTTATGTGCTATACCTGGATAAGTTCCAGTAACACAGGAAACATAGCTCAAAAGATCTTAAAGGTCCCTGATGAAAAGCTGGGAGGCAAGTTCTCAAGAGGCTCTGGTATAGAAACATGGAAGGCAACAACATCGTTTGAGGCATGGTATTGTAAAGCCTGGATAAATTAGTTGTACTCTTTAACCCTTTCAGGGTCGGCAGGCCTTGAAAGGGTCGGAAATTTTTCGAAAAAAAAAAATATTTTTTCTTATGAAATGATAGAGAATGTTTTCCCAATCATAATGACACCAAAAGTAAGAAATTTGATGGAAAACTTACGGAATTATGCTCTCGTGAAGTTAGCGGTCTCGACGATGTTTACACATCGGCGATTTTGCCCACTTTGAGCCCTATTTTCGGCCAATTCCAATGTACCGGTAGACAAAAATCATAACTATTTCACTAGAACTCCATTTTATCTATCGAATGAGTACAAGAAACCACCCATTTACCGATTTCAACTACCCAATAAAGTGGTCAGAAAGTGGCAATTTTGCCAATTTCACACAAATTTCAAAAGATGCCAATTTCCAAATAGGGTCCAGAATAAAGAAGACAGACATTCCTGGCACTAAAATAACATTTCCTCTGTTTATTAGTCACATCCCCAGGCCTCTGTTACATTTCTTTTGCTTTCCGCTTTGAATTTTTATTCTCACAAAAAATAGAAGATTTACTGTTTTGCAGTCTACTGCATTAGTGTAGAAATGGTATAAATAATATCAGCCCACTTGTGAAAGAATATTAGACTCACCAGTTGATGTGTATTGGACGCATAGCATGATTTGTTTACTTTTGAACTTTGGCAAAAATCGAACATTTCTGCTATTTTGAGCTCAATTTCAAGGTCCATTTCTTTGTGAAACCAATCAAAATCATCTCAATTTCTGTCTTCCATTCTATAAAATGTGACCAGGAAAACTAGAATACAACCATAAATAGCATACGAAAATACACTGCAAAGTCGCTGTTTTAAACAAAAACACAGTCAAGAGTTTTTTTTTTCTCATGCACTGCGTGCTGCAGGATTTTTTTGTACTGCACACACTGACCACATAGATCCATTCTTTCATATGTAGGCCTACCAGCTTTCTCTCACTAGATTTGAGGGCACTAGAATTTATGCGTACTAGTATGGCACCAACCCTGGCGTGCAAGCCGCACTAGTATGGCACCAACCCTAAAAGGGTTAAACCTCGTGCTCTTCATGATGAGCTTTAATAGAACATGAGCTGCCTGTGCTAAGAACTTGGACATGCTACTGGTGTAGGAAGAACATGCCTCAGGTATACATATACTATATGAGGAATCATTTCTCCTGAGTTGAAAGGAATCTGGAGCTGTTGGAGTGAAGAGGCTCTGCTGGAGAGTTCACAATCAAATCAAAGGCAAGACACAGTCACATTAGGTTGAAATTGATCAGTAGTATGGAAGCAAGAGTGAGTTGTGAACAACCCTGTTCTAAAGAAGAAAGGCTAATCTTGGGGTGAGGGAAAACTGGCTCCCTGGGGTGAATTGATAACAGATCGGGTGATCATTCTAAAACATGTAAGGCACTTGCATGAGTTCTCAAGGCAAGAGCTAAAAGGAATACTAGTGTTTGTATAAGTATTCTGATCCAGGGGCATGGCTGAAGGATGGGTAAGACACAGTATGTATATACAAAAATAATGTCTAAAGACCTCCTAGGAACCTACAAGTCTGGGATCTGAGACAGAAATATACTGACAGTGGTGTTCATAATGAGCATTGTCTATACTGAAATTCCAAGAGTTGTAAGGCACATCTGTGGTGCAATTAAGCCTGTAATGTGCTCATCACCCTACCATAGGAACACATGAAGGTGGATCTTGATGACCATGAGCATCTTTAGAGGAATTCTCACCTTTTGTTAAAAGAGCAGGAAAGCTGTTCATACAGACTTCATTGGACACTATGGAGGCCCAACTTGTTTGTACATGAACTGTTCTTTCTCTAGGATGAAGCCCGATCCCATATAATAGCTGAGGGCCAAGCTTACATTCCCTGAGCCTGGCTTTTATAGCCTGAGATGTAAACGGAAATCTGTTTGTCAGAGAAACAAGCACAAACTATCCATTTGAAGTAAGGAAAGTGTTGGGTGACAGGAGGAGTGCTTACCAGATAAGAGCCTCCCTTCATAAGGTCAGGAACCAAGAATTGAGAGGTATCCATCGAGCAGTGAGTCAACTTGACTTACAGCCGCTGTCTAGCTTACTGTTTATTTAAGTGTTGCAGCATTTAATCTGAGATCTCTTTGGATGGATGATTTATTTCTGAATAATATATATGTAGTACAGTATATGAGTTTTAAGTTTTTATATGTTAAAATGCGAATTTCTTGATTTATGTGCATGTGTGTGCTTTCTTAAGCTCTTTGTTAATTAGGTTGCTCACGGTGGCAGAGTTAGAGCTTTATAAAACAAAGGTAGTATCATCTTCAAAAAGTACAGTACAGTATTGGTTTGTGGTGTTGGGTGGCATCAGGGAAGTTATCTTTACATGCAATTGGTACTATATACAAAGACCAGGAGAAGGCTGAGTTTGCTGCCTTTGGGAACACCTGTCTTTATTGGCAGCATACTGAGTAGGTGTATTTACTGAAGTTAAGTGCATGATCTCTGACTCCGTAGTGTTGTAGCTTAATGGGAAGTTTTTAGGATCCTTGTTAAAATCATTTCATATGTTAATAGATAGCTAGGTTGGATATTCATTATTGCCATGTTCTGCATAGATTATTTTAACATTTAAAATATAGCTTCATTTGTTCTCTTTTGTACTGTGAAGTTGAATTATCAGTGATTTAGAATTTTGCATTTAATCACTGGTGGCATCAAGTGGACTTTGAAGTATCCCACATAATCTCTATCAACCCCAAAGCTCACGCTCCAACGTACTGTTGGAATGTGAGCAAGGTAACATTTATGAAAGGATTCAGGGAAACCAGCAGGCCGGACTAGAATCCTGGAGGTGGGAAGTACAGTGCCTGTACTCTGAGGGAGGGGTGTTAATGTTGCAGTTTTATAACTGTAGTGCGAGCAAACCTCTGGCAAGACAGTGATGAAGTGAATGATGATGAAAGTTTTTCTTTTTCAGGCCACCCTGCCTTGGTGGGAAACGGCTGATGTGTTAACCTCCAAAAAAATAAAATTAAAATAATAAATATTAATAATATAATAATAATAATAATATAATGCAGCTTTAAGACAAGTCACCTAGCCTCTGCTTTCTACTGGATTACCACTCCAAGTCCCTCCTGTATAAAAATTATGGAGTCACATCAGTGTTTATGTAGGCATCTTGTACATAGCTTTCTTCAAATACAAAATTTGCTTCTAATATTGGTAGGTTTGACATTGAAAATGTGGATATTAATGTCTGCAGTATCATTATTGTGGTCTGGGGCGTACTTTGACTTACTTTTGGATATTGAAAAAGATTTGAGTAGAATTAGGTGTGCAGTTGACTTAGGAAAATACTTCATGGTGGACTTAAAATATTTCTGGGATGATGGATAATAAGATTTTCAACAAAAATTGTAGTTGAGTTGTAAGGGGTTAGGGTGGATGGGTAGGGAGTTAACATCCTTGAGGAGGAAAAGGAAAAGAACAAATGGATAAGCTCCTATAAAGAGAATGGTAATTATTAGAAGAGCATGTTGAAGTAGTGTCTAGAAGAGCAAGACAACAGAGATATAGATTGGGAAGCAATAGAGTGTGACATAGTGTATACAAATCTGATGCTCATGTTTAGGGTGAGGCAGGTCTTTCTTGCCTTTCTGATGCAACTGCTATCCGTTTTGCTTTATTAGGTACATCAACAGCCCATACCCCAAACAATGCAACACCAGCAACAGCCACTTCAGCAACAACAGCCTCCACATCTACAACAGCAACAGCACCAACAACAGCAACAGCAGCATCAACAACAGCAGCAGCATCAACAACAGCAGCAGCATCAACAGCAGCAGCAGCAACACCAACAACAGCAGCAGCACCAGCATCAGCAACAGCACCAACAGCAGCAGCAGCATCAACAACAGCAACAGCAACAAGATATTGTCATAAACAGCGGCATAGTGGGCATGAATTCAACTCCCAATGGTGTTAATGTGGTTGGGTCTTCACCTACAAATTCATCATCTATGACATCTGTTGGTATCTCTGGAGATTCCTCAGCTACTAGTAAAGAGAAGACACCAATGTGTCTCATCAATGAGCTTGCTAGATACAATAAGGTAGGATTATGTATGGTTTTATTAGTTCAAATATTTGAAGCTGCCCTTAAAAGCTAGTTATAATAAGAAAATATACTTGTTTTATATCTTATCCCCTCAGGGAGGCTCCTTAGAGCCAGTGAGGCTCCTATAGCCAGTGAAGGGGCTCTTGATCCAAGGAATTAGACCTGCTCTCCTCTTGGATCAAGCCTTAGTGCCTCCCATTTCCCAGGCAGTATAACCCCTATGGGTTTAGTGCTTTCTTCCTCAGTATAATAATAATATAGCTTATAGAAACCTCATCTAGGTAGTTAATCCATTTCCTGATTGACACAAAATGGTCACACACTTGATTAATGACTGGTTGAATCTGTGTATTTTATTAAAAGTTAAAAATCAAAATAAATTAAAATGTTTGGGTAATCCTCATAGTGAGTGAGAAATGATTTTTTAATATCACCTCACCCAGATACTGAATGCGTCATAATCATTTAACAGTACTATTCCCTACTGGACGAATTCACATGCCATCTATGCATTAATTCAATATTGCTACTAGTAGACATCAGAAATATTGCCACAACACATATAGAAATCAAGAAATTGACCACTACCTCTCTGAAATCCCAAATCAACCAGACTGATGGTACTGTGGGCCACTTAGCTACCAACAGAATCAGCCTGGTTGAACAGCCACTAAACAGAAAAGCCTAGACCCAGTCTGGCTACAGGGGTAGAAAGCTTTCAAAACTGGAAACTGGTATATTACAGGTGTACTTATATTAACCCGTAAACGGTCCAGACGTATACATATATATACGTTCACTACCCCAGTGTCCCAAATATTTTGAAAAATAAAAAAAATAATTTTTTTAATGAAAATAAAGAGCACATTTTTCTAAGTATTATAAGATTAAAATAAAAAAAAATAGGGTCAGTATTTACTGAGATATGAGGCTGCAAAGTTGGCACTTAATGCTCACCTGACGGCAACAGAGTCCAGCCTCTTGCAGAAGTGTTGCCGATATACCATTTTTTTTTCTCATTTTTATATTATTTTATATAATTTTTATATTCTGATAATTACAATTTATTGTAGTTCTTGTCATTTCATAACCAATCTTTGTTCTCACACTAATATTAGGTACTGAAATTGTACTCCAGTTGTCACAAACACATTACAGGTAGACATTTACACTTGCCTTGGTCATTTACTATTGTCTAGGAATATATACCATGTATTTATAGGTCCCAGCAATGTTTTGGATACACAAGAGTATAGAAGAAGAAGAAGAAGGAAAGAAGGAGGAGGAAGAAGGAAGAAGGAAGAAATTCCCTTGATGCAGTGTGCAAGACAAGTGTTCAGTGACAAGCATCGGGAGGGCAGTTATAAGATCAGATTGAGATGACATTTGATGGGTTCCAGCGAGGGTGTAGAGATAAGATGAGATAGTGCAGAGATAAGAGGAGATAAGCTTTGACATTTGATGGGTGCCAGCGAGGGTGCAGAGAAAAGGGATGACATTTGATGAGCTTTTATCTCTGATTATCTGTCTCTCTCTCTTATTTCTTTGTCTGCTTGTCTCTTTCCATCTCTCTGTCTGTCTCAGAGAGAGCCACTGTGAACCAACAGGTATTCTTATGCATTATATCTACAAGCACAGTATAGCACTTTGGATTTTTTAGGTTATCCTAGATAATTTACACTGTATAATTGTATTTGTGTGTACCTGTGAAACAGACAGAGACAGATAGACAGACCCTAAACTTGGAGTTAATATTACTTTCCTCTTAAAAGGGGAGTGTTAATATGATATTACATCAGTGAATCCTTGGTGTTTGCCCCCACTGTTCGCTCCAGCTGGCGCTCAATATAACTGGCACTCCCACAAAGTACAGTGGTCCCTTGTTTTTTGTAATTAATACGTTCCTGGAAGTGTGACTGTTATTGATATTGACGATTTTCGAATCCATTTTCCCCTTAAGAAATAATGTAAATGCAATTAATCTGTTCCTGACACCCAGAAATATTAAAACAAAAAATTTTTTTTACATGAAATATAGATGTAGTACATAAACAGTACAATGGGACATGATGAATGAAACATTAACAGCATCACACTTACCTTTATTGGCAATTTTTCTTAGTGTATGGAAGACTGGAGGAGGAGAAAGATTGAATTAGTTACTGTTTGGAAGGGGAATCCCCTTCCATCAACACCTCGGGTACCAAGTGCTTTTCTGGGGTTACTTCTTTTCTCTATTTCTTAATGCCACTTGGACCAGCTTGAGAGTCACTGTACACCTGTGGCACTAAATACTTGTTCAGAGAGCTCTGTTTCTGGCATCTCTTTAAAACTTCCCAAAAATAGGCCATGACTTTGTCACTGTACATGTTGCCGACATGGCTTGCAGCAGCTTTGTCAGGGTGATGTTTCTCCATAAATCTTTCCATCTTACTCCACATTTCAAAAATCTCCTTAATTTCTGAAGAAGGCAACTTCTTCCATCTCTCTTCCTCCTCCTCTGCATCAATATTCTGAGCTGCAGTCTGTTGCTGTTCCTGCTGTTCTTGCAGCTCCTCAGTGGTTAGCTCTTTGTTGTGGTCCTCTACCAACTCTTCCACATCCTCCAAACTCCCCAATGCCAAAATAGATTTCACAACTGTCATAGGCTCATCAGGGTCAGCCCCAAACCCTTCAAAATCCCTCTTGTGGACACAATCTGGCCAGTTTTCTCCAAGCAGAGTTCAAAGTCCTGGTAGTCACTCCCAAGCCTTACCTATGAGGCTTATGCAATGGAGGATACTGAAGTGATCTTTCCAAAACTCTTAGGGTCAAGTGAGTGTCTGAGGTCACATTATAGCACCTTTGAAACATTGCTTTGGTGTAGAGGTTTTTTAAAGTTTTAAATGACCTGCTGGTCCATGGGCTGATAGATAGATAGATTTACATGCACAAAAGAATGAACATTCAACATGACAGTTACCTTTATTGAAGGCTGTTGATGAATGGAAGACAGGGAGGAGGAGAGAGGGAAGAGAGGTTATTGTTTGGAAGAGGAATCCCCCTCCATAAGGACTCTAGGTCACTTCAGGGGTCACTTCCCTAGCATAAATATAGATTTACTTGCAGAAAAAAATGCCAAATAAATGTAAAGCTCTAATAAAATGTATAAATGAACATTGGTAATAGGGGTAGTTGATGAGTGGAACGGTCTGCCTAGTAGGGTGATCGAAGCTAAAACATTGAGTAGTTTCAAATTTAGGTTGGATAAATACATGAGTGAGAGGGGTTGGATTTGAGTCGGACTTGCACCTGAGCTTATTGCTTGGGTAGCATTTGTTCTGTTAGTGGGTTGGATTTGTGAAGGACGGCCTAGTATGGGCCAGCAGGCCTGTTGCAGTGTTCCTACTTTCTTAAGTTCTTATGTTCTTATTTAACATCACACTTTGTGGATGAATGGTTCAAAGAACTGACATGTTGTTAAATTAGACACATGTGCAACTCTTGGGTATCTTTATTGAGGAAACGATTCGCCACACAGTGGCTTCATCAGTCCGTACATAGGAGAAACTTGAAGAACAGGAGGAGAATGAGGTAATCAGTCCCTCAACCTTGAGTCGATGTGGTCAGTCCATCAATCTTGAATAGAATATGGCATATGAGTGGAGAAGCAGCTTATAAACTGTATGGCAGGAGAGGTGCAGCAGTCGTAGGTGGTGTCACATTTGTTCAATGTGGAAGTAGGTTGTGCCCAAGGGTTAGGCAAGCGAAGAATTCCCAAGAATTAAGATCCCAAGAAGTTGCAGTGTCTGACAGGATTGTGGATGAATGGTTCAAAGAACTGACATGTTGTTAAATTAGACACATGTGCAACTCTTGGGTATCTTTATTGAGGAAACGTTTCGCCACACAGTGGCTTCATCAGTCCATACATAGGAGAAACTTGAACAGGAGGAGAATGAGGTAATCAGTCCCTCAACCTAGAGTCGATGTGGTCAGTCCATCAATCTTGAATAGAATACGGCATATGAGCGGAGAAGCAGCTTATAAACCGTATGGCAGGAGAGGTGCAGCAGTCGTAGGTGGTGTCACAAATGAGTTTGATTTGTGTCATTGGGTACGGGAGTAAATTCTTGGGTAGCTTTGGGTAGAGGTCATTTTGATAAGAACTTGCCTTGTATGGGCCAGTAGACCTGCAGTGTTCTTCCATTGTTATGTTCTTTGTGGGAAGGATTGTAAAGGACCTGCCTAGTAATGGGCCAACAGGCCTACTGCAATGTTCCTCCTTTCTTATGTTCTTATTGTAGACTTGTTTGTGTGAGGGAGGGATGGCGAGTTTATTGTTGGAGAATATGACACTAATATCAACTTTACGGCTTATTTATCTATCACAATTCAACTGATATGACATAATAAACAATATTAATAACATAGAAACATGGAATATACTCTAGAATGAATAAAATAAGTCATTACGTATGTCACGAGAGGTGTTGTGTTATTGTTGGGTATATAAGGGCCACTGAGAGTAAGCCGTCCATAATGGTGGTGAAGCAGCAACTGAGACGGTGGTGTTTTCTGTAGCCCTATATAACTCCAACAACATTGGAGGAGTTAGTAGAATCGCTGAATCACTAAAGGAACCCTCTACCACCATCACTATGACCTACCACTATTACAACTGTTACCACCATCACTACTACCTTCTACCACCATCAACCACTATTACAACTGCTTCCGCTCTACCACCACCACCTTTGTATTTTTCTACAAATTTTTTCATAAATTATATGTGTTTCTCACATTCTTTGCCAAAGGGCTGGCACTGGAAGCTTTCTTTGGAGCCATGGTAGCTTATTTAGCACTTGCAAGCACTTAAATCAATAGAATATTATGAAATATTTCGTAGGAGCATGTGAGGGGACCATCGCTCACTGGTAAACAATGGCACACTGGCTGGGAAAGCAGGCCCAGGCGGCTCAGAGCGTGAGTACGCGTCCCGGACGAAGGACGATT